CCAGTGGGTTTACATTCATTCCCAAAATGGGATTCCAAGCTTGGTCTCCAGAGTCCTAGTCCAACACTCAAACCCCCACACCACCCTGGCTCCCAAAGGACCTTTTAGTACACTGCAGTTTCAACAGGATTACAAAGCCCTTAGTGGCCACTTCTGCTGTGGCAGGTGTAAAGGTTGTGTTCACTCACTTACAATAAAGACAGTTCAACATCCAACTTTCAATAAGTCTATTAAACTTAGAAAAGACTCAAGCTGTCAGGCAATCAATGTAATTTTATGTAATTCTATGTCCTTGTCAGCTACTGTACGTGGGTCAAACCTGTAGAGAGAGAACTAGTAAGAACTAGTCAACACAAGAGTAGAATCCAGAAAAAACCTTGGCTTCAACTTTAGGAGGACACTGCAACACTTTTAGCTACTATCCAGATTCACTTAAATTTTTCATGCCAGATGTAATGCCACAACACAGAGATAATCAATTAGGTCTGCTTTGTTGTGAGTCCTTGTTTTGAATACAAATACCAAGTATCAGCATTTCCTATAGAGAAGTCAATGAGGGCAGTCATTTCACTTTAAGGAAGACTAGCTTTACAACTGGAAATATGACTACCTACATGTGCCCACAGCCTAAACCGTGATTAGCAATTAGGATAGGAGTATAAAACCTTCCTAGTTGTTGTAATGTTACTCATTTTGACTGCAACTATTACGGAAGGGAGGAAAATATGAGAGTGAGCTGCTTACTGGTAAGTGAATGGAATTACATAGGTTGTTTCAATTGTTCTATTAGCATGATTTTTTATGATTGTTATGTTATTGTTTGAACAGAATGTGGAATGCTTTTGCTATGAGCTGAGGAAGTCATCCCTGAGAATAAAACAGTTCAATAACTACCTGGGGAAGAACTGTCCTACTACTTCACCAACTGATTTACTGCACTTCTCCATTAAGAGAGCCAGCCTAGCCTAGTGGTTTGAGTGCTGCTGGATTGTGACTCTGGGGACCAGGTTTCAATTCCTAGCTCAGCCATGAAACCACCACCAAAACATCTACTTGACTAACTGCAGGACTCCACTAATAAGCTGTTCACCTTGCTGCTTTTGGATGCTTCAATGTGCTGTTTCAGTTTCTGTGCTCCTTGAAAGAATTTTGCAATACAGCATAGGAGGATTAACTGATATCCGTTGGATCCATTGCACCTCTCCTTGAAAGTCATTGACTTCGGTGGCTTTTGGATGCTTTAACCAAGGATGATTGGTTAAAAGACTGTTTCCAAGACTTCCACAAACACAGTCAGCAAAGGAAGGCTGGTGCTATAACTATATACTGAAATTTTTATTGTACAGATATGCACATGCATCCTAGATATATATAGAAGACATAATGGTTAGTACTAAGTTAGAAGGTGTTTTGTTTTGTTTGCTGTGGTGAT